GGGTAGAAAAAACGCACCAGAACAGCGGCCGTACTAGTGTTTTATCCGTCTTGTTTCAGTAGCGCTGCTTTTCTTCAAGATGCAGAGCATGGTTTTTACCGGTGCTTGCCATAGTTTCCACTGCGCTGCACGGTACTAGGTTGTTTCTTAGGTCGGCGGTCTTCGTGCCATCCCTTGCAATATTGCGGCCAGATATCTCCCCGAATTCTCTCGAGTAATTTCGGCCGTGCAGCGCCGGGGCCGTGTATTTTCTTTTTTTTTCCTCTCTCTCAAAGGGGTGCGCTGCAGGGAAGCGCGATAAATTATTTCTCGGCGCTGTCGTCTTATCTCCGCTTCTCTATTTCCCCGAGTATTCGTCTAACATTTGCAATTCTGATATTTTTAAGCCCAGGCTTTCGCTGGTCTACATAGATTGGGAACGAATGGCACCGTTCTATTTCAAATTACTCGCAAGCGCACAATGAAAAGGAAATGAAGAAAGTTGTAGGACCGATTGTACTATACGCTTCTCCAAAGTGAAAGGTCTGTTTGTACTGTGCCAGTGGAGGACTACAAATGAATGGATGAATGAATGAATGAATGAATGAATGAATGAATGAATGAATGAATGAATGAATGGAACCTTTATTTCGAAGGACGCCTTTGGCACGCAGTTTGGGCATATGGGAGAAAGGGAATATTAGGTGCACAGCGTGTGCATATCAAGGTAGCACCAGTTCGCGTTCATTCGTTGCAGTAGACGTTCTAAGAGTCGCTATCGCCCGAGTTGGTCGACCACTAATTTTGTCCACTCGGGGTTCTTAAACGTGGTCTTAAATCTCGCAGAACACATTGCGGCCGGAAGATTGGACCCACGTCTCTCTCTCTCTCTCTCTCTCTCTCTCTCTCTCTCTCTCTCTCTCTCTCTCTCTCTCTCTCTCTCTCACACACACACACACACACACACACACATATATATATATATAAATAATGTTAATCAACTTGCGTTACGTACGTAAATTGAAACTTTTGCAAGTCTATACTGTTTCTACATATGCTCGAGCGTATTGATTTTTCGCGTGTTTTTTTTTTTATGGTGAACTTCAGCGTGGCCGAGGTTCATTCTTCAGTCATACAGCAGGATTATCTAAAGATATTCGCTGCAGCAGATGGTTTTTTTCGCATTTCGTTTTCATTATTGACGTTTTTGAGCGGCCCCGCCGTATAAATCGTGAACTGTACGAGTTTTTTTTTGTGTGTGTATGCATTTTGGCCTTCATCTGTGTAGTTAATGGATTCGTCATATTGACGCGGCTAACGAGAACCGACCCATCGCCAGATGTAAAGGTTCTAGTAAACGTGTATATGTATCAGTCGGTGCGGGTATAACTTATAAGGTGCATGAGAGACACGCGAAAAAGAGCAACAGAGGTGAGAAAAAATAATAGTATCAATGTAATTAAAAAGTGGGAATTCGGGAATGAGAATCGAGGAACGAGGAGATCGGCTGCCCTTGCGCAGAAGCTGTTCGTAATTAACGCGGATGGGCTGCTAAATGTGCAATTAGCGTTGGTGAAGTCTTTAACGTAATTAACGGTGCTCCAAAAGCCCGTGTGCATTAAGTCGTAAGACCCCGTTTACGCGTTATGTGACGTCTGTGTCACGTCGCTTGATTTTTGGTGGTCGTGCGTTTATCTCCCGAGTACGCTATACGCGATTGAAAATAAAGGTAAAAAAAAAACACGGAGTTCTCTCAGTTAGACGTCTCGCAAATATTTTATGAACACGTAGTGCATTTAGCGCTTGCTTGCTATAGTGCGCGTGTTATGTAAGCTACGCAGAGAGGGGTGAAACAGAGGGAGAAAGAGGCATTAGAAACAGTACATAGTCATGCAAACTTCCTTGGCTTTCCTATCTTTCTCTTTCGGTCTCTGCAGCGCGGATGCCATTATGCGCATTCCGGCTCTTAAGTCTTACTGTATGGCTATTTAGATTTTGATTGATTGATATGTGGAGTTTAACGTCCCAAAACCACCATATGATTATGAGAGACGCCGTAGTGGAGGGCTCCGAAAATTTCGACCACCTGGGGTTCTTTAACGTGCACCCAAATCTGAGCACACGCGTGCCTACAACATTTCCGCCTCCATCGTAAATGCAGCCGCCGCAGCCGGGATTCGAACCCGCGACCTGCGGGTCAGCAGCCGAGTACCTTAGCGACTAGATCACCGCGGCGGGGCTGTATGGCTATTTAGCTCCGTCAGACTCTGCGGAATGCTTTTCTTATCTCTTTTATCTCTATTTTTTTAGCTGGTATTTTTTGCGAAAGTTACAGCCTGTGCGTTTATTTTGTGTAAGGCATTGCCAGTGCGTCATTTAGGTTTCTCACTGCGTAGCGCTTTCAATATCGGGGGCATTTTTTTTGGATAAATCTGAGCACACTTTCACCTTCCACTCTGTAGTTCGGATGGTAGGCCTGAGAGAAATAATAATAATAATAATAATAATAATAATAATAATAATAATAATAATAATAATAATAATCGGAAAAAGTAGAAGAAAAATAACACCTTACTCACACCATGGGCCACTTTGTGCTCACCAAGCTGTTTTGAGATTACCACAACAAGCATGGCTTTGTATGTTGGACGCCCTGAGATATTCCAGCTCGTTAGAATGCAAACTTGAATGGAGGGTTGTCGGTGATCGAACGCACGTTTTAATCGCAACTGCTCGATGGTGTTTTATTCGTCAGAATAACGGCACGCCGTAGTGTGGGAGGGCACCGGAAACTCGCACATCGCCCTGTAACGACGAATCAAGTCAGTGCGTTCGAAACGTAGTTCGATGTTGTGTTGAAGCACTGCGCTGCCTTTCGGTACGTCGTGTGTCGGGGGACCCGGAACGCAAAAAGGAACCCTATATACACAGCGAGTATCGACGTTCTGACGGTCGCCTTCGAAATGCATGCTCGGAGCGAGAAACGACGCTCAGGTTTGCTACTCGCGCGTCTTGAGTGTCACGAGAGCTGCGCTGAATTTTCTCGTATATCGAGCGCACGAATACGCACGGAAATGGCGTGAGTCGCAGCTCTTCTATGCGTGCTCCTCGCGTCTCGACATCGTCTTGTGATCCCGCATTGTTATTCGCCGATGTCGTTGCCGGTGTTTTTTTTTTTTCCCACCCGCGATTCTCGGTAGATGTGTGGAAGCTTGGGCTAGTTGGTATGACATGACGATAGTCATGGCGCAAGAACAGAACGACGACGCAGAGACAAAAATGACGCGGAGACAAGAAGGACACAGATAATAGCGCTCGTGTCGTTCTTGTCTCTGTGTCGTCGTTCTGTTCTCGCGCTATAACTATGGTCATTCTTGGTATAGAGTTGTAAAGAAGCGGAACTTCTCCGAAGCCTCGATTCTTTTTTTTTTTTTTTTTCGAAGGATTTCGAGACTTTATTCGAATTACTTGGGGTAATATCTCTTTGTGAGGGTGGTTTGTTTTCCGTGTTTGCAAGATGCGTCCCTAAACCCTCCATACAAAGAGAACAACGATTCTGGATTCTGGAACAACGATTCTGGAACAAAGATATACTCCATACAAAGAGAACGACGATTCTGGATTTCGAGATCCGCAAACTGGCTCGGAGGCATTTCGTGGATGTCGCGTACACATACCCGCCATGGAGGTCAGCTTAGCCTATAGTATCGTAGCTCCATCTGTTTACATTTGTTTACTCTGGTTGTTTCGCACAAAAAAAAAATCAAGAACGACTAGGCTTGGCGTCTTGTGTTTGCTCATTATTTAATTGCGAAACCTTCTTCGGAACTAGGAAGTATGGCGCTATGAATATTTTTCTGTCCGACGTCCACAGCAAAACGGTGCATCCGAGGAATTCTTCACATAAGCCACCCTGGAGCAATCGCTATATGAAATAACAGCAACAAACAAACAAGCAAGCAAACATACCTGCAACTAAACTAATGAAGGGTACAAATGCGGGCAAGTTAGTTTGTACACACGGTAAAACACTTGGAATCGCAAAAAAAAAAAGAACACGTCACAGGGAGAGCAGGACACAAACAAACGCTGTATACTATACTGCCATTCATTCAAGCAAACAGCAAATAAGCAACCAGCCAAACACGCAAACAAACAAATCTTGCACTAAATCCTCGGCATTTGATGATGCGCTGATGCCGTGTTCTTCATACAGTCATTTTATGCCATACCAAGTTTGGTATTGCTACCATTATCGAAACGGCGCAGAAGAGCTAAAAGTCGTAGGTGGCTATAGATATCACTTGTGCCGCAGGCTCGTGCAATGCCTATAGGAAGCTTGTATGCACGTGTAATACGGCGACGAAAGGGAGCTATGAAGCTTGCTGCGTACTACAAGAAAAAAGAGTGGATCTCAGTGAATAAATTTTGCGTTGGTGCATATAGAGAAGTTAAGATTGCACGCAGCTATAGCATCAGCAGTCTAACATCATCATTTTTGTTCCAGCCTATGTATAGGTATAGGAGTGGTTACGTGTGGTGCCAGCTAAAACTACACTTAAGAGACGATTCCAAAGTAACTCGGTCGGCTGTGTCAACATTCAGGCGACCCTGCATGTCATGTGTGGACATTTAATTTGTGTGAATATTTGCGTTTTGTGAACGTTTGTGTTGAACAGACACTTTTTTATTGAATTACTTGTAATGAATGCGTGAGTGTTTGACTGTGTGTATTTGTATAGCTTTGTTTTTTTGCTTTTTTTCTTGTTGCGGTGGCAAATGTTGTGCAAGAGCAGGGGTGTAGCCGGCGCCACGCATTGGCACCAACCTCTACTTGATGGATTAAAAAAAAAAGGGAAAACCCTATTTTCTTTCTCCATTTTGGTTGCCTTTTTTTTTTTTTGCTTTGAGTGACATTCACATTCCGTCTTTATGGCTTCGTCTTTCCTGTATCATTTTTTTTCTTCTCTGAATAAGAGAAGTAATCACTCCCTTTCCCTTTTTTTTTTCTTTGCTCGCAGGTGTCGCCTGTCGTCGCAGTTGGACTGATGCGCTCGACGATTGGTTGGCGAGGTGACTAGTCAGTGGCCGCCATGACATGCAGAGCGAACGACTACAAGGCTTTGCTCAAGGTGGGCTTGTGGCGCCGTGTTGCGGACTCCGCTCAGAACACACAAAGCGGGAAATTTAAGTTTCAGTCGATCGCTTGGAGACGTAAAAAAAAGTAAAAAAAAAAGTCTCACAAGGCCATCGCCAGCTTCCTCCCGCACGCTATAGCCTTCACAGAAGCATTGTCGCACTCCGTTAGTATTTTTTTCTTTCATTTTATAACATGATTTTTTGGGTAGAAATAAAAATTCAGCGTTGCGCTTCGTTTTTACAAAGTAGCCGTACTGTGCACTTGAAACAAAATCTACATACGAGCAAATAAACATCAAATTTAGGAAACGCTCTAAGAATTGAAGCTGTGCACAAAACAGCCGTAAGTATACGCGCGTGCACTAGTGAGCATTATACATGACTTGTCATATAACATGACCAATGGTCGGAAAGGAAGAAAATGATTCCGGCAAAGCCATGTACACCATTCTGATAGCTCATACATTCCCATACTTTTTTACATATATTATGTCTAAGTTTTATAGTACGGCACCCAAACTAATCGTGTTTTGACAGAACTCGTTACAAGCCGACTTATTTTTCAGCTTACTGAAATGCAAAAAAAAAAATCGCAGCATATCCACGGAGTGAATGATGATTGGTGGGGCGCAGCGTTCGTCAGTCTGTCTGTCCATTCGTTCTTGCGTCCGCCTATCTGTGTGATCCTTGGTGCATCCGTCCGTTTGTTCATTCGTCTGTCTGTCCGTCCATCTCTTTTTGCGGCCATCCCTCTGTCTATCCATCCGTCCGTGCGCCCCTCTGCCTGTCCTTCCGTGCGTGTGTCAGTCCGTTCGTCCGTCCATATCTCTAGAGAAAACTCCAAGCACAGCCATCTCACATTGTTTCATCATGTATTCATCATATACAAGTGCCCCCATCCAGCAGACATTGTAAGGACCGCTATTTCGGGTATGTGCCACTGGTGGTTACGTACTACGAGGGATGCACAAGCCACGCCATAAGGAGCTTCGCCCCTAAAAAAAAGAAAAGCGCAACGTGACTTTTCCCGCGCCTATGAAACGCAGTGATTGCAATGCTCCCTATTGTTCCCCGTACCAACGATATGCACACCTAGCCACGGTTCATGACAGCGGTAAGCAGACGCAGGGGATATCGCTATAGTTTTGCCGCTATAGCAAAACGTGCGTCATCGCAGAGCCACTGCCATCGTCGCTGTCTTGGAGAGGCAGCACACACGTCCACGTGCTAATATGATCGTTTGCACGCTTAGGGAGCACTACATTAATGGAGCGCGTGCCCCCTGGTATTTTTTTTTAATTTGCGGTGGTCTGCAGTAAGTAAAAAACAAAAAAAAATACACCAATACTTAGCAAATATAAAGTTGGAAACTGATTGGATGTTTTGCGAAGCGATCTACAACGTTCTCGTTCTGATTTTTGCCCAGCTATGTTGCTTCAAAATTTTAGTCAACTTGAATTTCTTAATCGGGCAATTTGAGAGAAAAGGAAAATAATATGACTTACTTCATGCAATAGTCGTCCTCATGCATTCTGTAGCTTCGTGGCACTTTGTGTCCGCATAATTTAAATTTAACTCAGGTTAGAGATAGCTGGGACACCCCGTAGTACCCAATGGAGCGGTAATAATACTGCTGTAACTGTCGTAGCTTGCTGTTTGAGGCGTGTGAATTGTACGACAATAAATACTTTCGTTGTAACATTTCGCGCTTCATACGTATTTCCGAACCGGTTTCATCTGCCCACACGATGGTGCTGTGGAATTTAGAGTTGTCAGCAGACGCGCGCAGGCACTTAGTAACTTGTATTCATCCTCTTACAATAACAGGAGCTATATCGCCGTCCTTCTTACAAGGCGAAGGCGTCTCAGGTCGTTTCGTTCTCAGTGAACTCAATTATTCGCGGGACTTCGATCACTGGCCTCTCGACAGGCACCGCTTGTCCTGCAAAAGAAAGCGGTGGTTTGCCGTGCAAATTGACGATTTAATAAACTTACTAAGCAGCTTGTCGTTGCGACGGATCTTCCTCTGTGTCATCATTTCTACTTATCGCAGAGTCAAAAGCAAAGCGCATGAGAATCACGAGCACACCAAACTAAAGCGACATAGAAGTGTGGCAGTTTGGGCTAGTTGGTATCACGTGACGATAGTTATAGCGCCAGAACAGAACGACGACAAAGGGCACAGAACGTCTCCTTCTTGTCCCTTTGTCGTCGTTCTGTTCTCGCGCTATAACTACCGTAAAGTGACATAATGCGACTGAAAAAAAAATGCGGAGCAAGCCAGTTTAAAAGGACCGACAACTGGCCATAACTTGATTAGATCGTGCTGAAGATAAGAAGGCCATGACTTATAGGGTCATATTCAAGCGTCGTTTTCGCGATGATGAGTAGTATTCGTTCTTAAATCGCGTTTAAATGTAAGAACAACAACAACAACGGTATTTTGTGCAGCATAGCGTATGAGCTTTGCAGCTGGACTACACAGTCGGTTGCTTCGCTGCGCGTAATCTGATGATTTCATTCGCACCATTATCAGCGCTAAAAATGCTTCGCGCGTGAGGCACGTGTCAATAGTAATCGTTATGTTTAAATCGCATTCGAAGCTAATGTTGATTTGCTGGAATAAGTGTGAATCGAATCCGAATATTATAATCGCACATTATAAAGATAATTGCGATATTTGTCACGACCTAACCTCCGCGATATATTTTTTTGGAAATTTGAGCAAGGCATGTACAAGTGTCTATTTTTTTTTAATCAAAGTGGAAGCAACTCTTGTATAGCAGCAGAATTTGGTGTTCAGAGTAATGCTATTGATAACCTGTGAAGTTCGTTACATTTTAAAATTTACTGATCATTACAATACTTATAGAATGTAAGCTGGTGTTAAACGCTTTTAAATTTTAAAAATGATGAGTTGATGTGACTATAATGTATTAATAAAACCTTGACAGGCGTAATAATTTCATTCCCTTGAATAGAAGTATTCACTGTATAGCACTAATTTTTGCAGTGCAACCACCTTTGCAGGAGGTTACACGCGGTTCATGTATGTCAAATCGTTCACTTCGAACATTTCGGAATTGAATAATTTAATTTCATGTCGAATCTGATTCCAGTACTAATCAAATCAAATTAAATTTATTTTGACATTTTTTTGTCAATGTTTGAGGACCATGTACAAAATGCGAACAAGGCTTGACGAGGTCCATGGTCTATTATTATATTCGTTCGAACGTTCGAAGTGCTCGAATATTCGCACATGTCTAGTGTGGATGTTACTATCCATTACTGCTGTATGTGCCTGCTTACGCGGCACGCTGAAAATCGCGCCTGCCTTTTCGGCAATTGAGGGAACGTGTCGCGGCGCATGCGCGCATGCGCAGAAGACCGCCGCGCACAAATTCGAACCACTCTCGTGCTCGCGCCTTCTATTGTTTGCAGCATGTGTTGATTATATACGCCTTCATAGTCGCCGCGCGTAGAACCACTTGTAATACCGCCTTATACGGTGTTTTGCGTGTTACCATTATCTGATTGGACACTCTGACCGATAAGCTTTCCGTTGCGCTAAAGAAAACGGGATACCTTAAAAACCTGTTGTCCGTCCCTTACCGGATCAAGGGAACTGACGCGCGTCTCTGGCCACTGGACATCCTAATCGTTTGTCATTTCGAGAAGCGACTATGGACACTGTTGCCTGCAGACTTTTTCTTTGCCGTTGCTAATACAAAGCCACGCGGTGTTTCTTTTGGGGAACCGTTTTATTATGAACTCACGTCACAGACTGGGCTCGCTGACGGTGCACGGGGCAGCAGCCGTACAAGGGGCGCCCACTTAAAAGCGAGTTGGTTAATCGAAAACCGATGTGAGCCGGACCGGTAACGGCGGGGCGAGTCGTTAGCCCTGCCGGGGCTCCTTCGTAAGTATGGTAAGCTGCGACGCTGAGCCATGTCGATGCGCAATCAATGGGCGCTGCTTTTCGGGGGTGCCGTTGCGCACCTGCGTTCGTGGCACCCGCAACGTAGGCGGCGTCCTTTGCGCGAACGCTGATGACTGTTCCAGATGACAATCTCGTGTACGAGTGCCGTATTTCGAGTTCGTGGCAGCGATTTAAATAATACTAATATCTGGGGCTTGACGTCCCAAAACCACGATTTGATTATGAGAGACCCCCCGTAGTGGAGGGCTCCGGAAGTTTCGACCACCTGGGGTTCTTTAACGAGCGCCTAAATCGTTAACGGGCCCCGAACATTTTCGCCTTCATAAAAAATGCAGCCGCCGAAGCCGGGATTCTGGCAGTGACATAAAGAAGGGCAGGGGAAATTAACGACAACAGAAGAAATTAAATTACGTATTTCACATGTGTATGTAAAGTGCACCCCCGGACGCGCCGTTCTCGGAGGCAGCTTTGCTGATGCCGTGCCAGTTGTCACGTGATCATAGGGGTAGGGGCCGAGGGCATGGGCGAAGCCTGCTGGTCGCGACGTCGGTATACAAGCGCCTCAGTATATCGACGGCGCCCGGTACCGCTGTTCACAAATGTAGAATAAGTCACCATTTGCGAGTGTAGGCAAAAAGTGACTCGAGGCGATTACTGTTCACTCCTGTGTGCCCGTCGCCACGCAGAATTCACGTCCGCTCGCATTGCTCCGTAAAATAAGCCGACGTCCTGGTCCGGCGCACTTGATTGGTTGAAAAGTTTGCGACTGCAGCCGCGCGACCGAGCCAAGGCAGTCTCTTTGGGACCGAAGTCGCCACTTGCTACCGCTTGCTATTAACGTTTCTATGTGACCGATGCTAGTCTCAGGTTTTAACTAGCCTTTGGTTGCCGTAAGGTTTTTAATGAATTGCGTAGCGGACATGTAGTAGTGATAGAACCAACATGTCGTTTCCCATCGCGATGACATTGAGCTAAGGAGCTGCGGTGCCTGGCACGGAGCCGTAACTTTTCCATTTCTTGCCGTGTTCGGGTGCGTACCAGTCTATACAT